ACGACTATACATGTTTCGACGTTACAACGTCATCCTCAGTCATCTGTCAGTGTTCATCATTTGGATTTTGGATTGGATAGCCTCTCTTATAGTCTTAGAAGGGAATGGAGAAAATGTAAGATAAAAAATTCAGAGAAACACATCATGTGAACACGGAGAAGTCAAAATTAAGAATTTATTGAAATATTTCCTTTTGAAATTTAGATATATTTCTTGTTTGTTAGCACAAAGCTACACAATGTGTTATATTTACTCTGCCCACAATAGGTATAGAAAGCCAATTTTTAGATTCATAAACCTGTAGACTTTGCCACTTAGCCATTGGGAAAGGAGGCTTAGATAATACAAAACTCTAAATTATAAACTACGTTTGTATGCCAGGTTTATTGATATGCATTGATAATAAAGTTGCTTAATTAAATTTTGAATGTAACTGCAAAAAAGGCCGTAACATGCACATTTTATCTCTCACTGTCTACATAGAGCTAATGTCACTATATATGGTTTAGCTGAAGTCTATCCCGAGAGAAAGAAAGCTGTGGGATTATGTACAGCTAAGTAGAAGTTACTTGTTTTTTTTGTTGTTGTTGTTATTGTTTTCTTTGCTGTGTTTCTTTTTGTTTGTCAAATAATAAAGACTGTTTTCATTTTTATCTAGTTTTTCGAGGCTCGTTATTTCACACACACCAGGAAGACTTAGTTATGTTATCTTACCAAAGTTGTTCATTTTATTCCCTGAATGAATTTGTTGTTATTGTGGATCTATCTATCTGATACCTGTCAGAAAGTCATATATTTTACCAGAAAATACCAAAAGTACATAGGAAGGCGAAACCTTGGTACCATATCATCAGGATTTATTGTGAAATTCCTGAAACAGTAATGTGCATATGAGCCCTTGCTTGATCTGTGAAATTCGATTAAAAAGATGAAAAAATACTATTATCTAATGAACAGCTTATTCTGGACAAAGAAATACTCAAGACTGAGAGAGGGATTTGTGAGCAGAGATAGAAACAGTTGTATGGAAAGATGTCAAGACTAAGAGAAGTTCTGATGATGTGAAAGTCCATAACTTTGGTCAGACTGCAACTGCTGACTTAGGGATACCTAATCATGTCTGGTGCACCTAGACAGTACTCCCAAGGATCAATGAAAGGGAAGCTCAGGTGACTGAAGCTGGTTCATTGTAAAGACTTCGCACCTTACGAGTTTGAGACCATGTGGGGAAGTTTCTATCAAACTCCCAGGTTGTTTACTGTCAGAACATATTAGTTCCAACTCTGATCAAGAGCTCAAGTGGACAAAAAAATGGAAGAAAACTTTTGCTATTCAGAGTTTTCTTCCCAGCATGTGAGTCAACTGGCACCCATGGACGAAGATTATGACCCATGAAGTGAGGTACCGCTCAGGATGGAAATTTTCCCATGAAATTGATAACAATTCACGACACCTGAGGTTATGCAGAATGGATAATGAATCACCTTGAGTAGATAGTTGACCTATAGCCTTGAACTAGGGACAAACTACTAACTGTGGTGTTGGAGTCCTTATGAGTACCTTCCATTTAGAACGAAAAACAGTGGCAGCATCTCCTCTTGGCATCCATTGGATTAAGAAAGAGAAAAGCTTTGGCCTGGCACACACACGTATCTGTGAGTGAGGCCAAGCAGATCATACCCCTAATGTTCAAAGAAATGGCAAAAGTGGAGCTGGATTAATTCTTGAAATATTTGACTGGAATGGATGGATTCAGGAATAGACTATACAATGCCTAGTTCTGAGCTTCATGTGCCAGACCTAGATGCTGTTGAACGCTCAGATGAGGAGCAGCAAGATAACTCAAAAACTGTCATCAATGACCTGCATTGTTGTTTCAACCCCTTGGAGAATTGGGTAATCTTTTGGACAGATATTAAGACTTATTAGAAGATCAGTAGCGAGGGACTGGTGATCTACACAGATAATCTGTGCCGATTGCACGGCAATGTACATCTGACCATGACTTCTGCAAATGGGAAGAACATCCTGATTAATAAGTTAATTTAGGGATTTCCACATGAGCTTATGTGACACCACCAGAATGTGAACTTTGTGATATTTCAAGCCCTGAAGTGACACCATCACTGAGAGAAGTGAATATTGACTTCATTCTAACAAATATCAACAAACTAGACTTTAGAAAGGAAGTAAATCTCAGTTTGGTAGGAATCGATGAACTGTGTAGTTTGTCAGTCAGTTATACTTGTGATATAGCTGAGCTGATGTTTTATAGAAAAGTTATCCAATTCTTCCCAGATCGAGTCCAGGAACAGTGGAAAGCCCGAGTGTATGTAGAGAAGGGAATGACGGCTCCTATGTATATTCAAGTAGTGTTCCATGGTTTAATATTGGCAAGTCGACCTGGATGAGTAAAGCAGGGCTAAGGCTCTTTTTACTGTTAGAGAAAAACTGCCAATCATGAGCTCAATGAACAGGTGTTTGAATGGTTTTGCAATGCTCGATCGAAAAACATTCCAATCACTGGCAAATTAATCCAAGAAAAGGCAGTCATGCTCTCTGTCGAGCTTGGCCTTGATGATTTCTCTGCCTCAAATGGCTGGCTAGATCGTTTCCAGAAACGGCGCAACATATCCTGTTCTGTCCTGTCTGGTGAGGGGGCGTCAGTCAACGAGGAGACGGTCAACGACTGGTGCAGCCATCTGGAGAGCATCTGCGAGGGGTACAGTCTCAAAGATATTTTCAATGCCGATGAGACTGGCCTCTTCTATCGTGCTCTCCCAACCCGCTCCCAAGTCATTCGCGGCGACAAGTGCCACGGGAGCAAGAATTCAAAGGAGAGGATAACCGTGCTACTTGGCTGCAGTGCGACGGGCGAGAAACTCACCCCCCTCGTCATCGGTCGTGCTGCCAATCCTCGATGTTTCCGTGGCTATTCGACGTCTTCGCTGCCTGTCACCTACCAAGCCAACAAACGTGCCTGGATGACATCCACAATTTTCAAAGACTGGCTCCAAAAACTGAACAACAAAATGACTCTTGAAAAACGTAAAATCATAATGTTTGTTGATAACTGTGCTGCTATGACTTTGTCGAATGTAAAACTTGTATTTTTGCCCCCAAACACAACAGCTCGTCTCCAGCCCTGTGTTGGTGGAATCAACAAAGCCGTCAAATCCACCTACAGGAAAAAAACTTCTTCGCCACATCCTCCTTAAGATGGATAAGGCTAGCACTGCTGCTGATCTGGCCGGCAAGGTCACAGTGCTGGATGCCATATCTTGGCTGAACTATGCCTGGGACTGTGTGCAGGCTGAAACCATTCAGAAGTGCTTTGCACACTGTGGATTCAGCTTTGCCACAGCTCCCACGGCCTCTGCTGATGCCACAGAGACGGCTCCAGCCGAACTGCTGCCACTGCTTCCGGGGTCGTCATGGGCAGATTTTGTTGAGTGCGACAACGAGGTCACGGCAACGACAGAGGTGTTTGGTGTCGTGGAAACTGCCTCTGAGGTCGAAGAAGAAACAAAAGCCCTAGCAGCTTCTCACATCTCGGCCCGACAAACTCTTTCCCACTTTGAAGAAATAAGAGACCAAGCACTAGCAACCAACAACAAAAACTTCTGGACATTGCCCTCGCGGGTTTGTTTGCTGTCGAACTTGATGTGTCATGTGTTAAGCAAACAAAACTGTCTGATTTCTTTATGTAAGATGAAGTTGTGTAAGTTGATATTGTGCAAGCTTTGAATATTGATTGAAAGAAAAATGATAAAAAAGTATTTTCTGACTATTCATAGTGTTTCCACAGTTCGCATTTTTCATTTAGCCTGACGATCGCTGCCTCTGACATTTACTTCTTAAAATGCAAAAATCTACGAAATGGCGAAAAAAACATAAGTTTTAGATGTTGAAATCAAACAATAAACACATTAGTTGTTTAATGTCACTTTATTCACATAAATAATCACTCTCTGCCTGTCCACGAATTTGGCACGAAAGGTGTGAAATCATCAATCAGTCGCGCTTGATTACCACTCACCTCTGGCCAAGGATGACTGGCCGACTGTAGGCAATGGCCCAGCCCCTTCCTAACGACATCCCCGCGGATACGACTTTGATAGACTGGCTGTAAGGTCGGTCGTTAGAGAGTATTCTGCTTTATTAAAACATAAAAAACATTTCTTAGAAGTGTAACAGTTTTTATTTTTATCTGCTGATTAACAAAATGATTTGTTATTTTGTATCACTGAGAATTTGCATTAACACTTAATCAACTACTATTTTGCAAAGTTTTTCATGGTTAACTTATTATTTACATCACCGTTACTTCTTCTCTTCGTGTTCCCCAGTGGCACAGCGGTATTTCTGCAGACTTACAACGCTAGAAACCGGGTTTTGATACCCATGGTTGGCAGAGCACAGATAGCCCATTGTGTAGCTTTGTGCTTAATTCCAAACAAACAAACAAACAAATCTTCTCTTTGATAATTGGTTTAACATTTTTCTAAATGAATATTTACCTTATCTCTCTTTTGTTTAGTAAGATAAACATTTCAAATCTGCCAAAGTGTCTCAATTTTTTTTTTGTACATACTCATTTCCAGCCTTATGTGAAGATTTAACAATATATCGTTGGTCACAAAATGTAGCTAATATTCTTTCTGTAGCTTCCTATTGTTCTATGTTACTCCCTTTGGGGTCACTTGCATTCTTTCGTGAGACATATTGTTGTATAGCGGAATACGTTATGTTTCATATAATGATGTATTCTTTTACTCTAAAGCAAGCTCAACAAGGTTTTTGAGCCCTCTCTTTACAGTGTTCTTTTCAGCAGTAGCCAGTGAAGTGCTGGTTATTGTCAAAATGTATTCTTCAACTTAGAGTTCTATTCACTTTGTTTTCATATTGTGTTTTGTATCTTTCTTCACTTCAGCCAAAGAATTCTGATTTAAATCTGTAATACATTTCTTTGCATTTCTCAAGTTATGTCCGCTTGTATATGAAGGCTTGTACTGCCCAAAAGCAAGTTTTGATAACCTTGTTTGGCACAGCAAATATAGCACATTGTGTAGCTTTTGTGCTTAAATATAATTAAATGAACAAATATTTAAATTATTTGCAGTTACTAATGGATCTGATCGGAAAGACAGTATATCTGGGAGTACCTCAATAAAAAAGTAATTTTTTTATACGTTTTAGGTCTGAATCTTCCTGTATAATGAAGACATTCTTTGACTGGTTTATTTATATTGTTACGTCTCTGTTCGTTAATTGATTTTCCGTAACTTCGTTCCGACGAAACTTTAGCGACACAAGTCCTTACTTAATAAAACTCGTTTATTCTTTCTGAATATAACTTTACGATACACTTGATTTCAACATTCGCGCTAAAACAAACGCTATAACGAGCTTCAACAATACTCTCTGACTGCAAATCAATTACTCACTACCTACACACTTTGTCCCGTCACGTTGTGAGCGTCTTATATATATACCAGACAAACATATATCTAGTAAATGCTAGGACATTCACGAAGGAACAAGATAGTTCTAGAATCGTGGCGTGACACTAGTCACGTGACCTCGCTGACGCAACAATATAGATAAACTAATTTTTACATTAGAAAGATATTTAATCATAAAATAAAATTGTTTAGGTGAGTGGTTTTCCATTAAGTACTCAGTGTATAGCTATTTATGAATTGCTCATAAACAATAATACATTTATTTGGCAGAAAATACTAAGATGAGGATCTAAGGTATATTCTACTGAAATGGAACTTACAAACTGACCATATTAAAAACGTGGAAAATTCTCTAATATTGGGCTTGTTAATTCTAAGCTATGCTTTTATGCTGTAATTTAGTTTTCTTGTTTTAAAATTTTGTACTTACTTATAGAACATTTTAAACATATAATTGTTCTTTTAGTCAACGAATGTTTATATTATATAAACTTTAAAATCTTTGACCTTGTAAATATCACAATCAAAATGTTTTGTAGTAAATAACGTACTACCATATATCACACTTAAGTTACGTATACGTAGTTTCACTTATAACCTATCGATGTACCGTATACCTTCAAGTTTACTAGTAAGTGTCATGACAGTATAATTTATTTCAGATTCAAGCGAAGTACGTATAATTAAATAGGTCCTTTTTCACTTTAGGGTTACATACCATATTTGTAACTGTGAAATTTTACAAAATAGAAGCTAATTTATAGTCTACAATTCATGTAAAACATGAAACACACCACATTTTGGAAGTTTACAGTTCAATGCATTAAGGAATATATGATCGTTTCGACTTTAATACAGGCATTATTTACCTTTTTCAAATAAGATATTGTAGGTTTTAGTTTGAAAATGTTTAGTTGGTTTTCTATCAACACCATACACTTTGTACAATTTGTTCACTTCAAAATACCTGAGACTTTGGTTGCGCTAATATTGCTGTGCTTTCAAAAGACTATTTCACAGGTATTATTTAATCCAATATACTATAACAGTTATGAAAAGTGATTTTTTTATCATTTAACAATGAGTATTAAAATGGCATTCAGGTCTGAACGTATTAACATTAATAATAAAGATATACAAAACGTATATATTTTTATAAACTTTTTGTTGACATAATTATATCAATACGTTTTTTTACAGGCTGTCTAACGACTCACGTAACCATGGTTATAGAAGCTACTGCTCCCACCAGCTTGATCTGGATAACCATTCTATCATTTCTGTACTGCCATCTATAATCAAATAGACTCTACTTTTGTTCAGCATTATATAATAAATATTGTAAGCAATATTTAGCTGAACTGAGACTTTTCAACTAAAATTCATATATCCTGGATAAATATACACGCTTTCCACTACAGTAAACAATAAGACAACATCAAACCAGTTCAGGTTAAATACAGGGTGTACGAAAAATCCGGAACCATAAACACTTCAAAGAATTTTACAGAATGTGTTCCACATGCCGTCCTTGTAATTTGAAACAAGTTTGCATACAGTATTTCCACTCTCTTGGATTAAGCATATTCGTGTCATTGTCAGTGGTCCACATTACCAGTCTCTTTAAATTTAGCTAGCAGTTTCCGAACAGCACTGTGAGTGATGTTTCTTTCTTTCTATGGATGGTGTGCAGTAAATTCAGGAGCAACCTTCCTCCCAGGACTACACAACAGGATTAACTCGACCTTCTCGTGCTTTGACAGCGCCATAATCAGTCACGTAGCTGAAATTAAAAAAAAAAGGCTCCTTAGTTTAGGACACCCTAAAAACGTTAAAATAAAATGAATTCACTGTTCTAGACAACTACAAACATCAGCAGGTGAACAGTCTTTGTATTACACCTTTATCACTACAGTGGGCACCACAGAAAAATACATACAGGCAAATTACAGTAAAATAAGGACTTTTCCTCAATAACTTATCACGGCCCAATTCATATTCTGGCCTAACTAAAAGCATAACCTTGGCAGCTTCTTGTGTAAACATCCTGTCAATTTTTATCATCAAAAATTACTTGAGTGTTCTGAAATAATGATAACAAAGTTTCTTAAGTCTAAAGGTGTCTTTAAACACCCAGCAGTTATTCATCTAGGCTGGTGGAGTGTCACGGATATTTCTTGTTTTTTTTTTCTCTTCTCATGCTGAAAATACTTAACCAAACTGCCTAACACTTAGTTCAAACTAATCTTACTTGATGTCTTGCCATAGAAGAAAATTTCCGTAACTTCCAAAAATATATAACTTTTATATAACGCGAAAACAATTTCAGGAATGAAAAGAACGTCAAAAGAAACTATAAACAAATCATAGATGTTTAGTTTCTTTCAAGTTTCCTAAAATACTCCTTATATTCTACTGTTTATCCTTATAGAAAACTCTGTCTAGCTCACCTTTTTCACTGTACACTGACGTAAGTAGTTTATAACCTGTCTAGCTACTTTCTGACGAAGGTGTGGGAATATTGTTATTTGTCTGACACATTCGTGATATTTGGTAGTACGAAGTGAAAAAAGTGGGGTACACTGACGTAAGTAGTTTATAACCTGTCTAGCTACTTTCTGACGAAGGTGTGTGTGAATATTGTAATGTGTCAGACAAATGTCGTACTACCAAATATCACGCCACTTTTTTCACTGTACACTGACGTAAGTAGTTTATAACCTGTCTTGCTACTTTCTGACGAAGGTGTGTGAATATTGTAATGTGTCAGACAAATATCGTACTACCAAATATCACGCCACTTTTTTCACTGTACACTGACGTAAGTAGTTTATAACCTGTCTAGCTACTTTCTGACGAAGGTGTGTGTGAATATTGTAATGTGTCAGACAAATATCGTACTACCAAATATCACGCCACTTTTTTCACTGTACACTGACGTAAGTAGTTTATAACCTGTCTGGCCCGGCATGGCCAGGTGGTTAAGGCACTCGACTCGCAATCTGAGGGTCGCGGGTTC